TGCAATGTCATGTCACATCCAAGAATCATGAATTGCATCTTATCAGGTTCAAGTGCTGAAATGAAGTAGAGTCTGTGTTCGAGGCAAAGCCATTGCAACAATGTCTTCAGTACGAGCCTTATGCGACCGCCAGCTAGCTGTCCCCTCCCAGCATCCAGGAAACCCCAAACCACTGCTGTGTACTGGAAACATTACAGCAAATCTTTGTAGAGATGGAGATCGAGGCAATGCCCTGAAGGATCAGTGATCATCAGAACCTACTGAGTCCAAAATACACTTCGATTTCATATTTTTCACAGAAAAGGTACTATTTATATAACTTGTTTTTTAAGTGCCAATTAATTAAAAACAAAACCATTAAGGTGCATTTTTTTTGGTGGGGAGTGGAGCATTTTTGTGGATTACTTTGTGAATTAGAGGGCAGGTTGGTGAGGTGGAACCAAACCTTTTTATTTCACTAACACTGTATTAATAATTGGTAATGTTAGTTGTTTAGAGCAAGTTTTTGGTTTCTTATCTTTTTTGAGCTAAAGCTGCAAACTGTTGTGTGTAGAGAATTCAGTCAAGCCACAGTGTTTTGAAGCAAGCATTGTTAGGGTTTCTTTTCTTCTATTAGAATACAGTCGGGCTATTGAATGACAAATAGGACACATACGTTTAAAAAGATTTATTTAGTATAAATGAAAGAGACATTATGAAAATGTATATTTTACATGTTGATGCTATTTTTGTTTAACAAAAAGGAAAAGACTATATCATGTCGAGCTTTAGTATTGAGTTGAGCAGGTAAATTACTGCCTTTGGTTCTCCCCGTCCTGCCCATGGTAAACATAAACATACACACCAATCACACCGATGGTTTGCTTTTTCTTTCTTTTTTTTTTTTTTTTTGTTTTAATCATATCATTCAGACTTTTTTTTCTGGCTAAATAACAAAACTTAGCAAGTTCACTAAAAAGAAAGCATGCACAAACTTGCTGTCTTAGCTGTCTGTTAACATTTTTGATTTCTTACATAGAACTACAGGATTTACTTGATAATTTTCCAGAATTTATGATGTACAGTATTTAATATAGGCCTATTTTGTTGTATGTGTTGCATAATATTCAAAAACCGAAACAAACTGGGGCCTCTGTTACAAGTGGCAAAGCTTTCTGTGTATAATTTGTCTAATAAACAGGTTTTCTACAGTGGGATGTATTTCTTGTGTTTGCTTACCGGACAACAAATGACTCATTTAGCATGTTTTTTTGTTTGTTTGTTTTTGTTTTTGTTTTTTTTTTCCCATAATAAAAACGCAATTTAGAGTAACTGTAGACATTACTGTATTATAATGTGATTTTATATGAACAATATGGCAAAGGATTACTATTTTATACCTGAAACCTTTCCTTTTTGTCAATAGATGTTTTAAATTTTTATTTTCCTGGATTCTTCCCAACTCTACAAGAAATATCTTGCTGGTAAATTAAACTACACTGGTAAGTGCACACAGTTGCAGTCCTTTACAGTAGCATTCCTATTTTTTTTGTACTTTATAACATTTTGTTCCATTACAAACACAAACTATAATAATTATCGTATCATACAAGAAAAACATAACATAATGCAGATTTCTAGAGTGCAAGTAAACTGAGTTGTCGAGATTGTTCACATAAAAAAAATACCTGCAATGTCTAGCATGCAAATTTCTATCTGTTTGTATATCGTCTGTCTGACCAACAAAATTTTGTCTTGAAGATTTAGATTTTTTTTACAACAAATATTAATTCAATGATTGATTAATATGACTGGAATTCAATCAGACCTGTTTGTTTTTAATATTGGTTCCCTAAGATCACTGTTTGTTGTGATTAGGTGCTAATACAGACAAAGTTAATTGAACCAGGGTTTCACTGTGGAGTTGCTCTCAATGCTCTTACCTCACAACAAGATGGTAATCTCAGCCTGGAGCCTTTAAATGTGGAGTTTGTATGTTTGTCTGTCCCAGTATATTTAGGTGTTTCTCTACTGGACTGGCGACTGGTTTGGGGAAGACCTGATGAAGATGCTCATAATCCCCTCCTGGCCCTATAAAGATTAAGCAGGTATATAAAATCAATGGATGAGTTGAACTTAAAGAGGAACAAACTTTAGACATCCAAGAAGGTGTCAAACACAAGACTTTTCTCCACAAGAAGAACTTAGAGATTTTTAGTAATTACCACATGGTTTGCCAGGTTAATGTAGCTTTGTTTATACATTAAATCATCTGTATAACATTTGTTTTAATCACTTTTGTTGAAGTTATAATTTTATAAGTAAAAGGTTTAAATTTTCATGGTCATTTCATGGTCTCTCATTTTAAATTTCTTATAACTTCAAAGGCTGTTTTACTGATGTTCACAGCTGGATAGACGCTCTCAAGTTCACTGGAGCATTATACTGAAGTAGCATTTATTCACCAGACAGTGGCGCTGTTTAGCTTTTCCAGTTATCGCAGATCTCCCTTCACTTTTAGAACTATGTTTTGTTGGGAAATAATGTTAACCAGAGATTGGAGAAAAAAAAAAAAAAACACTAATTAAAGAAGATAGTCTCAGTTAGCTATGAAGCTGTGAGATTTGCAGAAAAGGACAGATTAAACAAAACTGGCATTAAAGTCCCTCAGCCTTCTGGAGAGTTGACATTAATCTTGCCTTCACTTATTTCGCTGTAAATCAACAGCAAAAATCTCTATATGGGTGCAAAGTCTGACTAATGGAAACTGACATCAGGGGCACCTCATGACTGGGGCCCAATTCATCCTCATAATTTATTTAATAAATAGGAGCAATTATTAGAACATTGTCTCAGTGCAGACGAAGACTTCGAAATGACGTAACATTTATTTACTGATGAGTTTGCAATCTATGAAAAGTGACAGAGGCAGAAATAATTATTTACATATTGCCATTATACTTGCTACTATTAACTATCAAAACTATTATTTTATTGCACCATGAACATCCGTACATGTAAGATACTGAGTTTGGATCTTGAACAGTCTGTGGAAACTTCATTCTCCCGATAAAAAAGTAAAGGAATTTATCTGTTCCACACAGCCTTCAGAAATATGCACAACACAAATAATCAAAGTCATTTTTAGCATCATAGAGTAATTCGTTAATAGATATTATAAACATTATAAAGATGAAATATTAAACGATTCATAATAATTCGTGAACTCGACCAAAAACAACTTGAGACAGCAGCAGTGATGGGACATCCGGAAGCCAGGCTTCGAGGCATGTACCTATAGTAAAAGGGGGGCGTGTCAGATGAAGCCCCGCTTCGACGCTTGCGTCTCTCGCTTAAAACCATCTGACTGACAATAAAGGATGCCTCTCATTGGACACATCGTTTTGGGTGCCGATTTTCACAATAAAAGCGCCATGAGCCGTGGTGCTTCTTGGTTTGTCATAGGTAATTTGGCAGCATATGATGAGTGTTTTCCATCAGGAGCAGCTGAAATAGAGCCAACAATCAGGCTTTCCTGTAACTACCTTTACAGGAAAGCCAATTTATAATTTATATAATTTATAGTGCTGATTAGCCTGAGCATTCACAACAGGATGAGCTGACGGGGAAAAGTTGTAGTTGTAGCAGAGAGTTAGGGGGGGGAGGAGGCGGGGCATGAGCAGCGATATTGTGATTGACAGCGCTAAGACCCACCTGCCGGCTCTGATTGGTTGTTTCTAGAAGGCAGATGAGCTCGACTGTTCCGCAGTTTGTCTGTCCCATACCATACTGCCACAAGATAGTGACTGTACAAAAAAAAAAAATACATATTTTTTAAATTGGTAAGCCATAGTCATAATTAGAAATAGAAGTATTTCGCTCTGTGCAATGAATCTATGTGTTCTATTTTTTTGAAACGAGCGGCAGAAATATAACTTTTTATTCTTTATTTTTTTTAGATGCATCTGTACAACATACACCCTCAACACATCGAGCTGACTTGCAAAACAAATGGATTTGAAGTTACTGGGCAGGTTAGCTGCAGATAAAAAAAGGGGGGGGGGGGCATTAGCACAGAAACATCTCATCACAGGCGGTCTTACATTTGTATTTACAGGATTTTCTTGAAAGATTATTATGAGATCCCTGCCCACCTCCCCGCCTCGTGCCCGGCGCGCCCCAGTCTCCAGGGAGACGGGAATGAGAGGGGGCAGCACGCAGACTCCTCTTGCGCATTGGAATGGGAGCCCGTCCCTCTCTCTCCCCCTGCAGGAGCTTCCCCCCTCAGCCGTGACCAATGGAACATAGAGTCTCCATTGTGGCTGAGACACTTTAATAATCGCCAGCTACAATATCCAACCTGTCGGTAGCTTCAGGAGCCCAGCCCAGCACGTTGGAAGCGGGGGCGGGGGGAGAGGCTCAGTGGTGGGAAGAGGAGGGGGCGAACGCTCGGCGCCAGACCTCCACCCCTAAAGATGTCCCCGCGATGAATAAATGAATAAAAAGTAGAAATGACTGAGGTCAGGCTGTCTCTGAAATTGTGCGATTTATTCTCTGGAATTATGTTTTTCCTTCTTTATAAATTGCCGTGACAATATTCCTTGGGTTTCTGAGCCAAAGGAGACGGTTATCAGGCACCATCTGACCAAGTGTAGTAATTGAATCTTGATATAGTCATTAGGTTATCTAATGTTAAAAAAAAAAAAAATTGAGGCTCAGGGGTAAAACCGTCCTGATTGCCTCCTTGGTCATCCTTCCTTAAACACTAATCATTTGCTGTAATCTTTTCACCGCTCAGGCAATTAGTCTTAATGGCTTATTTCCACTTAGTGACTTGGTTATTTGGTGGGAGGTTTGCACGTCAGTAAATGATATAAATGATATAATGTACAAATAACAGAGGTGTGATCTAAGCAATATTTTTTTTTTTACTTTCTTTTTAGTCTGTGCAGTTTTCCAGTTAGCTGTAACCTCCTGTGTTGTATGTGGCAAAAAAAAAAAAAAAGCCTGCATCAAATTCGTTATATTTAAGTGAACTTGCAAAGTGCATACGTCTGTCTGTCATGCGTGTGCGTCCTCACCATCTTGCTCCCTGCGCGCCACAATACAGTCCGATCGGAGCGCCAGACCTCATCTCATGTTTCAGTTCCCTGTGAAGCCCTTTTCTCACCGACAGGGCGTTCCGAGAGCCGGATCAAAAGGTTTTGAACCAGCTACAAAGGAAAAATGGAAACCAGAGATGATCCTGGATTTAATAAATCCACAATGAGTGCGCGAGCCCAAGCAACCGCAAATATTTCCCCCTTAAAAAAAATAAAAATCTTTTAATGTTGGCTTCAGGGCTTCCTTAACTTCCTCCTACATTTTACTTTATTCAGTTCCAAACGGGACTTTTATGTCATGTAAAGCGCAACATATTTTTTATTTATTTTTTTTTTTTTTTGTGTGTGAGGTTTAGATTACAACTGAATTTTGGATTGTGTTAAATGTTAATCATAATTACTTAAAATATAGCAAACTATTCGTTTGCAGAGGTCAAAGTCTAACATTATAGCACACTTGTAAAAACTTTTTTTAAAGTATTTGCACAAGAATTTAACTTAATGAAAGTTTCACCATTCAAAGTTAAACCATGGTCAACTCAAACCAGATTAGCAGGATTATTTAATCAGTTAGAGTTAAGCCTAATTTAATCAAATTTAAACACTAATTCACTTTGTATTCAGCGACTATGCAACTATAACAAAAACAGCAGGATAAAAATATACATTTCCAATGCAGGATTTCTCAAAATATTAAGTTTAAAAAGCACTCCAAAAGTGCTTTTTAAAACACTTTTGGATGTAAATGATATAATGTACAGATAACTTTCGGCACACGAGGGAGGGGAACGGCCAGAAGGATAAGAACCAACAATAGATGACAACAAGCAACCAGGATCCACACAAATAAGCAAATTTCAAGTTGACTTGTTAACGTCACTGTTCATTACATTGAAGAGATTGAAGAGGACATAGTTGACTTGTCCATAACTGAGTACGCAAACTATTCTCTAAGCTTATTACTAACTTGGTTCATGTTACATGGGCAGCCATGCAGAGGTGGCCCTAGCCCATTTGGCCCCCTGGGCAAACCACCTTTTTGGCGCCCCCACAGCACCCCCGCCCCCCTCCGCTCCCCATGAGAAGTTCTCCACTTATATTAACTTCCAAACATTTAGCTAAATAATCACATAATCACATGTGCTTTCCTGCAGCTGAGCGTATGTAAATCTCACTGAAAAACAAGTATGAGCAAAAAACAGTAATAGAAACATAAATTGTGTAATTTCGTACTTTGGACACACTAACATGCTCTGTTCCTTCCATGATTTCTCAGTGCGGCATAGCATGAGGAAGTTGGTTTGTTTTTGTTTTATTTTTTATTTTTTTATTTAATCAGTTTTAATAAGGATTTACCACAATTAATTTAAAAAAATCTAATTTTATCAGATTAGTTTAACTGATTTTTCAAGCAAAGTATGTTTGTGTCTTTGAGCTGTTAAACTTAATCATTTCTTGCCAATTATTAAATATCTACCGAAATCAAATTGAAATTGATGCACCACTTTTATTCCTTAAATCTGTTTGTTCTCGCTTCTCAGTGCAGATAAAACAAGAGTCATCTGCGATCCAGCCCCGTTGACTCGCTTACAGCATTCTGGCTAAATCACACTGCGCATTCAGTGCCAATTGCTGGGTTCTTAACCAGGAGGCCAATTGACCCTGTTGAACTTTTCTAGCTACCCCTTTTTTTTTCCTGCTGATTGCCCCACCTCCATGTCGGAGACGCAACACAGGCGCAGTGAGAGGTCAGGTGAGGATCCTGTTTCATCCACGCACGTCTCGTGCGGTGCACCCTCCTTACTAAGCCCTTCATCACTTGCACGTGCGTCCGGTGGGAGGTTCCCCTACCACCCCGTTTGCGTCAAGCACTCCCTAAATCGTAATGTTATCATAAACAGTCCCACCTCAACGACCTATAATCACCTCTCAGGCTTTTTTTTTTTTTACCGAGACATCTCATTGGACGTGAACACGCGACCAGCGCGAGGAGGGGGGCTTCCAGACGCGTGCCGCTTTTTAAGCCGACGCAGCGCCTTGAGACACCAGAGAAGGAGTCCCGCACGCGACCCGAACGCCTCTTACACACACACACACACACACACACACACACACAAAAAAAACACACAAACTGTGCGCAACTGTGAATTCCTAGGAACATTTCCTAAGACAGTTATAGGGAAAAA